TAAGCCTTTCGGTAACGCTATTAAAGCGGATCCCAAGATAGAGAAGACAAAACCCAAGACAAAACAGATGGCAAAGCCTTGTATACGAGTGGACCAACTGAGTGATGTCGCCGATGAGATCTGCCATTGAAAACGAGTCCATTGGTTATCACTACCGCTTGACATGTGTTAACGGATGGCATACCTGAGCGGCGAATCCCTGTTCTTCGTCATCACCTCCGCTGCCGACCGACTCGTCTCCACTCAAAGCCCGACGCAATTTATCCATCACTTGGTCTTCAAGTGGTATGTCTTGAGTTCAGGCAATCATATAATGATATGAATGTAAATAAATGTGAAGTAAGTGTGAAATGAATAACAGATGGCATTCAACGCATCCATCGCTTCCCTTCACTCAATTCTTGACTCAATTCTGGAATTAGTGTTGAATTAGAGATGAAATGCAAAGAATTAATAGTCGTTTAGTTGTAGTGATTGTCCGCTAATGCTATCAATCATTACATTATTCTCTTATATTTATTATTAATTATTTACAATTAAACACATGTTTTGTATTTTTAATTGTTTTAATCAATTCAATGCAAAACTTGTAAAAATATATTTTCACACAAATTTCTATTTCTATGAGTTTTAAAATAATAATATTTTAATTGCAATTATTTATAATTTTTATTATCAAATAAATTAGTATAATGTAAAATAATTATTAAAATGGTTTTTTATTTGTATCATTCGGATCACACAGCGATGTTATATACGTTAATTACAATTCGGATTGTGCTTAAAAGATCCCGTAGACTTACCAGAGATTAGCTCATAGGAAATCATTACCCATAGACTTAGCATTACCCATAAAGTTAGCATTGTCCATAGGATTAACATTGTTAAGTATTTTAACTGGCTATTGTGGGTACATTTTGTCTAATATTTATGGAAATGTATGGGATAGGTCAATAAAATTAAATGTGTATTCAGAATACATACAATTTAAAATTGGGACCAGAATACAATATTGTATGTTTCACATTTTAGAATAAATTATGCCGTTATAGAGTTAACAGCGAACTAATAACAGGAATTAAATGACATATAATACTATTTTAATAATCAAGTTTTGGTTTTGTATATTGTTTCAAAGATTATTATTCATAAAATATTAAATTCATATATTATTAGAAAGTTATAAGAAATTGATTACAAGTGTCGATGAATAGTAAGAAAACTTGGATTAAGTTTTTATCACATTATATTTGTATTACAACTAAGGCTTCTCACTTCATGCTAAAAGTGTCAACTTGGAAAAAGTGGTGGTATTTGAAAACATTTTGTTATATGGTTAAACCATAATGGTTTGGAGGCCTATTACTACTTTTTCAGAGCCGAGACCTTCAGCATAATGTGAGCCCAAATTACAACCACTAAAATAGCACAGTATTTGCCAGACATTGAAATAAACACTCGTTATATCATAACTGACACTAAATAAACAAATAATTAAATGTGAGAAACAAATAAACAATTCTTATTTACAAATGACTTATATTTCTCATGAATCCATTAGAGCCAAGAAGTCATTGTCTGATTCATTATCTTCATTGACACCGATATTCAAATCATTCATAATATTCTCTAAATTTGTAGTTTTATGTATTCCTTCGCTTATATTCAGTTCATTGAAAGCTATTTTATTATCAGTTGTCTTCTCTTGAGTGGAGTCTTCGTGTCCCAGATTTAGCCAAAACTCAATCTCCGAATCGTTTGGTTTCTCTCTTCCGATCAATTTTGCCAATAAATCCGATTCATGTTTTGCCGAATCATTGTTTTCGTTCAAATCACTCGTTTCCTCATTCATTTGAGCCTCACTTTTGGTCTGCTTTTCAGATAATTCTTTTTGCGAATATTCTTTAGTATATCTGAATAGAAAATTAATATTAATTTTTTTTCGTTGTTTTCGTTCAAATCACTCGTTTCCTCATTCATTTGAGCCTCACTTTTGGTCTGCTTTTCAGATAATTCTTTTTGCGAATATTCTTTAGTATATCTGAATAGAAAATTAATATTAATTTTTTTTATAATGATTAACAAATTGACGCGTGATTTACATATTAAGGCCTAGAGTTGTCTTATCAATGGAGACCGTGTATTGACCTAAAGGATCAAAACTGTCCACTTCTGTCACCTCATTGTTTGCATTGAAATATTTTATAACTCCCGGTATTTGACAATCACAGGATACAACTCCTTCGGGTTTGATCACAAACTTGCCGTCATTTTCTTGGGTCCCATCCCTAAGGAAAATGGAAACTCTGGTTTGGATGTCCTGTAAGAATGTGAGGATCGTATGGCGAATGTGTTGGAGTTTAGCCCAATTCATGTCTAAGTAATAATTTATAAATTTTTGTTTTGAGGCCTCAATTAGTTTGAGTGTATTGTCGAGTCGAGCCATTTTGCCCATTGAGTCCAAATGGTTTAAAGTGACATGTATTAGATCCAGTGGTGTATTACAGAATACTATTTGATGTTTGGTTACCATTACCATCAGATCAAACAACTATCGTTAGATAATGAGTCTTACATTGAAATGTTGATTCGTTAA